GATCTAAATATTTATAATTAATTATAACTAGTTATGATTAATTATTCATATTTCCCTTATGAGCTGATTCGCTACAGAAATTTGCCCTGCATGTCAGCTCGTGATTCTTAAAATAAGAATTTTAGGGGTGTCAATAAGGAGGACTATATAAATACGGCACAGGGGCCAGTTGCATAAATGCAGACTATGTTAAGACTGTCTTAAGAACTAGTCTGACCAATTAGCAGTTAGCCAAGGGATTCAACTTTTTGGATTCAAGTTAGGTCAAATTAAGTTTTTATGCTGGCATAAAGTCATGACTTTAGTCTAAACAAAACAAAATTGACTAACTTGCAAGACTAAAACTAATCAGAATCAGAATCAGAATGAGCTTTATTGCCAGGTATGTTTACAGGAATTTGGAATTTGTTTTCGTGACAGAAGCTTCCACAGTGTAACAGAATGACAGTGACAGAACAAAAAATAAAAAATATCACACACACACACACACACACACTAATTACATAGACAGAAAAACGGTCATAGTTTGGCTGTCAGGTTCTTTCTGATCTTCCTGAACACTCACTCTTGACCACAATGACTCATCTCAATTTTCCCTTTGTACAAAGCACAGTGCTATGTCTTTTTTTGCAGCACTAGCCGTTTTAGTTTCTCTGTAGCAGAAAAAAAGAAACTTTTCTGCACCCGCTGCAGAAGTGTAATGTATGGAATATGGAACTAATCCCACAAGGACAGGAATGATGTTTTGAGTCAGTAATAATACACTGATGTGGGGACAGGCTGAGAACACTCACGTTGTTTTCCTGATGTCTGTTGTTCTTCATAAGCGTGATGATGCAGTTGTGAATGAAAAATGCTAGTGTGAGAACCCCACTCAGCTGAGGAAACAGCGATCTGAACTCTAAATCAGAGATACATTTTTTTAAAATCTGTGGCAAATGGGGTGAAAGTTAAAATAGGTTTTTGAATCTTTTACAACATTTACATTCATCTTTTTTTACATTTACATTACAACACTTCACCTACACAACGCTGTAGAGGGGTTACGATGTGGCTGGACGTTTAGCTTTGTAAAGTTCACTGAAGTTTGTAAGTTATGAGAAAGGAAATGAATAAAGAACCATAACTATGCCTTTAAAATGAGTTTACGGGTGATTTCAAGACATTGCACGATTTAAAAAAAACAAAGATTCCTTTACCTGGAACAAAAAACATTGATGAATCAAACCAGTGGAAGTCCAGGTGAAAGCCCAGGCGAATGGCTTTATATGTGACCAAAAAGATGAGATAAACCACCGACAAGGTGCCTGTGAAAACCAACGAAAGCCTTTTATACAGCAGGATCAAAACACAAGCTGAAAGCAGAAATACTACCACTCTAGCTGGGAAAGGCCATACCGAGGAAGGTGAACCTGGCGAAGAAGGATGCGGAGCGGAAATTGAGCAGCGGCAGCAGCAGAACAATGAGGTAAAGCGGGATGGTGTTGGTTTTACTCCACCAAAGATCAAACACCTGTCCTGTGCTGTTCTCACTCACATAGTATTGGTGAGTGCTGCTGTCTCCGTCTGGATCCAAATTCGGATATGGACATATCACTAGTGAAAGAGAGCAGAGAAACACACGTTATCATACTGAACTGAACTGAATTAATGAACACTTGGTCAAGCACATGAAATGCAGCTTCAACAGCTAACATAAATCTATTGATTCCAATAATGGACCAGTATTATAAACGGACATTTTAGGCAAATCAGTTCAAAAGTTATAGAGTATATATTTATTAACCAAATGTAACTGATTTTTTTTTCTTACACTTGGAAGTTTTATTTCAATAAGCAGAAGCATTACCAAGATACAGACTGACGCTTACCAAGTTTCATTCAAACAAAATGCAGCAATTTGTGAAAAGAATTCAAGCCACTGGGTCTCATTGGACTCTGAACGGTTCTAAGAATCCAAAGAGACCAGGCTCATGACTTCAGAGCAATTAGTGTTAATAATAAGAATAGATCTTTTTCAGTCAAATTCAGCTTCAATTAGCAGCAAGTTTCTGCCTGCATTACTGTCAGTGGGCTGTAGCCAGTTTTCACAAGATAATTAAACTAACTTTGCTGAACTTGACATCAAGCATCAGTATTTCAGAAAGTATATTTACACACTACCCTACCATATGTGTAATCTTCCATTGTAACATGAAACATTATGTAAGCGAGGGGATTGTCAGCGTTGCCCGTGTCACTAGTCATGAGATAGATCAAAGGATAAAGGAGAATCTGCCCATGGCTGCTCATGTTGCTGCTGGAGAAAACTCAAATATGAATATGATTGAATGAATATATAAATCCCTAAGTGAGAATAAAAAAAGTTTAAAATAGGCGAGCAGTTTTCATTTGAGAATCATGCTCGGCTAAATTTCCAAAAATGTATTATATACCACTACTACATTATAGAAGTAATCACAGTAAACCTGTACTGTATTACTGTATTTTATACTTAAATGTCTAAGCTACTGTAGAAGCACTGTGTGGTGGAGGAGCAGATGCCACAGGACTGAAATTAACCATTTCTCCTGTGTTTTTCTCCTTCTCCATCTTACTTTCAGAACAAGAACCACCTGTAATGAGACGGCACCCTCACAATGAGTCTCTTCACTGGGTTTGGCAAGTCTTTCCCTGCTCTTTGTGAAAAAGTGCCAGTTCCCAAGTATGATTCCTTCACATTTTGTTGGTGTAATCTATAGATTGCTCCTGCAGACTATATCCAGCCTTTTATGAAGACTTCAGATGAAGCGGACTCTGAATAAACATACAAAACTGCTAAATTGTAATCAACATGATCACATCATGTAACCAATAACCATTGCTTTAATGTGTTCATTGTTTCTGTATACATGACGTTACTTAACTGCATGATTTGTACAGCCTAATTTTAGAACATTTCTGCTGCCATATGAACATTACTTTGACACAGTTACACCTGTTAACAGAACTCTTATTTGTAATGTAGAAACATTCATTTTCTATAAAGCATACATTCACACTCCTTTCTGTGAGCGACTGGAGCACTCCCATGCAGCACAGCAAACTATAGTGGAGACTGTTCAAGGACAACATGCTTTACAGTATGTAAATTAATTACTTTATAGTCTACTAATTACCAAAAATCGCAGTTCTGTCGCTCTAACTCAAGTTGCTCTCCAGCCACGGCAGCCACTGCAAATGAACGCATATACGCCACTTTTTGTGACGGTTCAACTTTTCATTTTGAACTGCAAAAACGAACTGGCTCCAAAAAGTGAAAAAAATAACCACTTTTCCCTTAATAATAGACATGATGAGTGCTATTGTTGTTTTCACCGATATGCTACCTGTATATGTTAACATCTCAAAAAATGTGTTTTAGGGTTTCATGACACTTTAAGATGATAAAAACAGTTATTTTTGAATAATCGAATCTGGGCTGAAAATATTAATTTATTAATTTAACAACCTTAACTTGATCTGATACGTGATGACTGTATTAGGAAGTACAGTAAGTGCATGAAAGCAGAGCTAACATTATTACTTTTTAATTTGTACACTCTTCACTCATAATGTTTTATGAGAAGTATAACCTCATCCGATTTTATTGCTCTTTAACACAATATGTTGTTTGTATGCTGTTCTTGGATTTCTTTAATAAAAAGCTGGCTCAACTCTGAAGTATTATGCATACACATACAGCATTAAATCATGACATATCATCATACCCGACTAAACTGTGGTTGATATGCTGTGATGAAACATCTGTACATCAGTAAATCACATATGGACATTGCCATTCATGCAGGTTACAGCAGAAGTTATTTTACACCACTATTTGAAGCTTCCGCTTTTCTAACGGGGAAGTGTGAAAAAGGCCTGTAATAATAATGGATCTCTGTGTCCACTCACCTCTATCTGTTCCATTTGTGCCAAAAGCATCTGATGTGCTGACATTGTGAACATAGTCTGTGGATGTGAAATATACAAGCAGTTATACAGATCTACCCAGAAAACATCAACAGTCCATCGGTTAATGGACAGCAGAACAAATGAGGAATGTTGAGGAGAACAAACACTCACTGTAAATGAATTTTCCTGTGTTGAACAGGAAGTTGGACATGAGGACCCAGTAGACCACCATCGCACCAATCAGTGACACCAGTGAGAAAACAAGACTCGACCATTTTCCGAATCCACCAAAGTAATATTTACACACATCAGGAAACTCCCAGTCTGAGGTGTCTACATACGCTGCAAAGACAGAGCTGCGCGTTACACAGGATTCACACGAAACACCTGCTGCTTTGGTGCAATAGTGGAAATATCATAGAAGGCAGGGTTACACAAATCAACATCCCATTAATTTTCTCCATAGAGAAACAATAATGTAGGAACATATGAAAACAGATCTAGCAGCAACTCCTGAGGTTGTTAAATGATGGCTTCACAAACAAAGAGACAAAAAAAGTTCTTACGTTTAAGCAAGACCAGCTTATGTGAAAATGAACATAGGAACTGTATTAATCAGGATCTGAACTCTTGCGTATCAAACAAACTTTCAGGATTATCCTGTCTGTCACATAAAGAAGTACCAGAACTGTCATTAGGTGCATAAAGCCCCTCGTTGCACATTAAACGGAGAATGGTATAAAGATCTTATTAACCAAATTATGGATGTTTTTGTCTAAAAGCTACACTGAGTCACTGTATCTCTCATAATTTGAGCCTCGTGTATTGGGGCTGTAAAAAAAATGTGAAAGACTGGCTGTTTATTTGAGAGCGGTCATGTGGTTGGCTTACGAATGGACTTTGTGGACTTTAATACTCTGTAGCAGCAGTAGAGAGTCAGCAAGCCCATAAGAACAATAATGATGATGCCCAGAGTGAAGCCAGCCTAGAAACAGGACAAAAAAATTATTTATCTTCTTAACAGTGCAGTGAGGAAAGGAAGCACACAAGAAAAACATAAACTTACTTGTTTTATGCCCCAAGGCATACTTAATATAGAAGTTCCCATCATGGTGTTCCATATGGCGAAGCTGCGCGCACACACACAC